ATCCTTGGTTAAGCAAGCAAAAATCATTATTACTTTGGTTCAGGCATTTCATCATACACCTTGTGGGCATGAAATGCCTAATGATCTAGTTTAGAAGGTTTAGGTCTAATCTAGCATTGGGAATAAGTAATAAGCATAGGACAAGAAGGATCTAACATTAATCACCCTAGATCATCGCTTAATCACCCAAATCACCCTAACCCATAAACTCAAAGAGAGTCTACTCACTAATCTTCATGTTTAATCTTAAACCCATGATGGATAGAAGACTAATCATGATTAGAAGAAAAGACAGACTCAAATTACTCAAGAAACAAAACTTATATTAATCAAGGATTCAACTTTTCAATGTGTTTATGAGAGAAAAGAAGATATCATCCACTTAAGGTCTAATACATATTTATATTAAGCTAAAATCCGTGACACGGCCGCAACCTCCTCTTGGCCGCGCCACTAGCCTGCGATGCACCCATTTTGGCCGCGGCCTTCACATCCTGCGAAATAGCCTGCGAAATCTCCCTGTCCAATTCGTCGTAACACCATCGCGGACATCGATATCCTGCTACGGTTGCATGCGGCGACGTCGCGGCCATCTTTAGCCTGCTACAGTTGCATGCTACTGCACTACTCTCACTCCTTTGGACTTTTTGTGATTCTCTAGGCTCCAAATCATCATTAGCACTACTCCAAACCTAATAAGGACATATGAATGCAATATGGACCTAAAGATGCCTAAACCTAAATCTATATGATGATTTATGTACAAAATGAAATGTTAAAACTATGTAAATATGCATCATATCAAGAGATTTAAGAAGTGAAATCAAATGATAATTAACTTTGTTTATGGTCAAATGCTTATGCTTGATTGTAACAAGTCTCATTTGGTATATAAGATGTGATCTTTTTTAGTTTTGTTTACCATATTCATTTCTTTGCATGATAACATTAGTTAACTGTCTGAAGACATTATTATTTTTTGATTCATACCGAGAAATATTTTTATCACTCTACCTAGTCAATAAAACTTAGTAAAATTTCCAAAAGATCAAACATTTCACAAATTCAAAAACTAACATAGAAGACACTAAACCACATAACTTGATATTCTTGAAGTTACTTAGTATTTTTGAAAGTTAAAAAACATATTTTGATACTTATCACTCTTGAAAAATTCAAATTTTACAACAACTTCCCGAGAAGTCTTCCAGACAACTTCCCGAGAAGTCTTCTAGACGACTTTGAATGAAGTCTTCTTTTATTAGATAGAAATATTAACATGAAGGTTGGTAACCTCAGAAATATCACCAATTAAGTTATAAATTCCATTCAGTAACTTTAATATTGACTAATATACATGAATTAACAAAAAAATGTTAAAAAATCTTTATAGTCTTAGAGAAAATGAAATTTTATCAAACATTGATGCAGACGACTTCCGCGGAGGTCGTCTGGACGATTTCCTAGAAGTCGTCTATTTATGTTAGTTTTGCAATTGATTTTTAACCTAGACGACTTACATGTAAGTCATCCACCTTTGTTTGATAAAAAAACTTGAGACGACTTACATGTAAGTTGTCTAGGAACACCGGTTAGTTTTGCATTTGACTGGAATGAGTCAGAAATTTGAGTTTTCTTGGAAGACTTATGTGTAAGTTGTCCAGTAGAAAATTAAGAAATTTCAGGTTAATTTTGCAATTGAAATATTAAGCAAATTTTCTTTTCTAGACGACTTACATGTAAGTCGTCCAAGATAAGCAAGGTTTGACCAGAATCTCGGAATAAAATCATGAACGACTTACATGTAAGTCGTCGGATGGATGACTTACATGTAAGTCGTCTAGTAAAAAAAAATTGTTTAATATTTCAATTGCAATACTAACCTGAGACGACTTACATGACGACTAGAAAAAATACAATATTAATTTTTTTTTACTACTGGACGATTTACACGTAATCGTCCAGAAAAATTCAAATTTCTGACACATTCCGGTCAAATGCAAAACTAACCCGTTTTTCCTAGACGATTTACATGTAAGTCGACTTGAATTTTTTTTATCAAACAAAGGTGGACGGCTTACATGTAAGTCGTCTAGAAATTTTTTTTTATAGTCAATTGCAAAACTAACATCTGCATTGACCAAACGACTTCCAGGTAGGTTGTCTACAGCCAGACGACTTACCTGGAAGTCGTCTGGACAAACAGATCTGGAAAAAAATCGATTTCATAGTTTCAACGAGTGAGATAACTTGTTTAGCACACATAAGTCTTCTCCAAGTACCCAGAATCTCAAACAAAAGTGACCCACCAAGATTCGTAAGCTTCAATGGCTCTATGAACCATAAAAAAAAAAATTAGAATCAAAATCTATGGTTTTTTGGATGAATATGGAGAGAAATTAAAGAGAATAGATCTGGAAAAAAATTCGATTTCATAGTTTCAACCAGTGAGATAATTTGTTTAGCACACAGAAGTTTTCTCCAATCACCCAGAATCTCAAACAAAAGTGACCCACCAAGAATTGTAAGCTTCAATGGCTCTATGAACCATAAAAAAAATTAGAATCAAAATCTAGGATTTTTTTGGATGATTATGGAGAGAAAGTGAAAGAGATGTTGTTTTTAGTTCATATGAATTGAGAAAGAAGAAGTGTAAATCGATTTGAGTTGCACTAAGAGCTTCAAATTGGTTGTTCATGGTGGTTGGTGTATTGATGGTAGTACCAATCTTGTAAATACTTGAAGATGATGAGGTTGAGAGAGTAAAAAAGGTATTTTCGAAAAAAAGTTAATGGCATTTTCGTAAATAATGTGAACTTGTGGGGTGAATAGGGAAAAAGAAATATCCAAAAAAATCATATGTTAGTTTTGTAATTGATTTTAAGTCTTGGGTCAGTTTTGCTAATAGCCCAATGTTCTTTATCCAATAATTTCATATGGAACTTTTATTATAGCATTTGCATTAGAAAATTAAAAGTATATTAGTAATTTATTTATTTAAAAATATCATAAAATTATCTTAACTCCAAAAATAAAATTTACATATTTAAAATATTTTTAAAATTTTAATATTTTATAAAAATAAGAAATCACATTTAAAATATAATTTAATTGTTAAATATCAAATTATATAAATTAAAATATATTTTAAATGTGACTACTTTTTAAAAACTTAAAAATTATGTAAAATTTACTTTTATATTATACATTTTTTGGATATAAACTTAGTTTTTTATATAACTACATAAAATAAATAAAATCATATATATATATATATATTAATATATATAAAACGATAGGTAGAGCAGTAGCAACATGCAGTTTAAAATTATTATAAAAATTATTATATAATATATAATATATTTATTTCAAATAATATATATACTTTATTGAATATATTTCTTAATATATATATATTAAGAAATATATTCAATAAAGTATATATATTATTTGAAATAAATATATTATATATTATATAATAATTTTTATAATAATTTTAAACTGCATGCTGCTACTGCTCTACCTATCGGTTTATAAAATATTTTAACGAGCACATATAGATTCTGCAGCATACTACTTCTATAGCATATTGCCACTGTTTTATCACCAGCTCTACCAATCAAGGCCTAATTTGAAGACTAATTTCGTTAATGTACCTTTGTGGTGCGGGTCACCGAACCTTCAGGCTCTTACTATCTTACATATAAACCTACGTTTCACCTCTCCTTTTATTCATTTCTCTTCATGTTGGATCGAAATTGAAAAATTAATGATGATAATGACGGATGAATTGGAGAAACCTGTGTTGACAGAAGAATATCTGATGGAGAAGATCACCGTGAAGATCCACGATCACGATTCATCGTCGTTGTCATAGCACCAGAAAGCGGAGTCTCCGCCGGCTTTGAAGGGAAAATATGTCGTTTGTTTGGGAGAGAGAAACCTGTTCACAAGGTTCTCGGTGGTGTCTTGTGTACGTTCTCTTCTACACTCTCCTTTGTTTCAACCGCTTATCTCCCACATCACTAACGCTTTGACTTTGACATGCATTACAAAAATCTAGTTTATGACCTACAGTGACATAACTATTGGAACAATAAATGCCAATGGGCTTTACTAAAATGTGAACAACATATAATATGGGTTTCAGCCCAAAAGAAATGTCAAAGTTGGGAAACTTCCACATCGCTCCGGAAGAGAGAAATTGAGTAGTATATACATGTATTCATGATATACATGCTTAAACAGCTCTGAGAGAGAGAATAGATTCCTCACACACGCGCCGCCGCTGTCCGGCTTGGCATGGGCTTGGGAGAATGTGGGCTTACAAGTTATTTTTTTTGGGCCCAATTAATTCTGAATTTTTTACTCATTTCCCTACCAAAATCGACATGCATTTCTTTTTAAAACGACAAGTAGTTTGTCTAATAAATAAAAAAACTTTAAGAAATTTATCCTCTTATATATTTAGAAAAGGAAGAGTGTTGAAGAATAAATTTTCGTAACTCAACTTACTCGATTTCTGCAAAATTTTCGCCAACGCACGAGAATTGGTGCTCGTCTTTCTCTTTAAATAAATCCTACTCTTCTTCTTCATTCTTAATTTTTTTCACGTCGAAAGAAAATAAAATTGAAATCTCCCAGTGTAAGTTTATGTAAAGTGTTTCGTAGACTTATTAGTTCGTAGGGGTTGATCACGAGTGCCGCTTGACAACCTGTTGTGGTTGTATCATGAGACTCTAATTCATACAAGCCGACACACTTACGGGCGATTATTAAGAATTAAGAAAATAGATTTATCTCGACTCCGCAGTCTGTTTTTTTCTAAAACGTTTTTTGTATCGGGTTTTGATTCGTCTATTTCTTGTAACTATCGGTTTTATTATTTGTTTATATCAATTCAGTTTTTTGGCTTCTACAATAACCCAAGACGCAAAATCGCCTTTTAAACCAAATCCAGTTCAAAAGTTTGCGTTTTTAAATCGTTTGTGTAGCCGCTGATGTGTTCTTGTGGACAAGAAACTCTCAGCCGCCACTCTTGGTGTAGCTACTGTCGTATGGGTTCTGTTTGATTTGGTTGCGTAACATTTAATGAGTCTTGTCTATCATGTTTTGATATTTTCTCTCGCAGCTATGTTTTTATCGTCTAACGATCACGCCTTTATGAACAAGTAAGCTTCTTTTTGCTGACTTCATCTATTTAAAAGTTACAAATTTTATGTTTGCTTTGATATAATGTTCAAAAACTCTTTTTTTTTCCAGGACTCCACCTAAAATTCCTGAAATACATGTTACAGCGGAACATTTTCTTTTGATTGCTTCTACACGAGAAATGAGCTGAACCATGCCTTTGTTATCTTAAGGAGCATTGCGTTAGGAAGAGACTTGAATAAGTTTCTGATGGTATTTAAGTTTGTGTGCTTAAGTTGAGAACTTGCTGCAATAGACACATGAATCCTTTCAGATAGTAATACATATCTTGTTATTAATCAGTTTCTTGTGAAGAACTATGTATTTATTTGGTCAATATGAAATGGATTTTTAATACTCCGGTGGTTTTTGGGCTGTGGATATCTTGGTTGTGGGCAATTGGTTCAACTTCTTGACTCTTGTATACATCTGTAAGTATTTGTACCTTGGTAGTTTTAAGTTGCTTAAAGATTTTGATTTTTCTGATTATTGGATCTAAATTATGATGTATGTGCGTGTGGAAAAAAAAGAGGTTTTGTGGTGTTTCATACAGTACCGATGATGTATGAAAAACATGAGGACAAGGTCGATCCGGTGGCAGAAAAGGCAATGAAGGAGTTAAAGAAACATTACATGGTTTTCAGTGAGAAAGTTCTTTTTAGGATCCCTCTTAGTTCCGTCAAGGAAAAAATAGGTTAGAGAGACTTCACAATGAAGTAACTTCTCTCTCTATCTTTTCCCCTTGACGTTTTGCTTTGTGTCTTGAGGTATTTATGTCTTGTTGCTACGTTTTAAAACAGGTACTCAATAGCAGTTATTACCTACTAATAGGATTTAAACATGAGTGAGTTACCTAATAAAACACATTTATCTTTTTAATACATAATTGAACACATTTCATTTTCAACACACAATTCATGAAATCGAGATGTTATTGTGACCATTATACCTTTTAACTGAATTTAGTATTGCACGTGTAGTTAATAAAAGAAAAAATTAGTTATTTTTTTTGTTAGTTAAATTGGGAAAATAGTTGGGTTTTTAATACTTTTTTTCTTCGTATGATCGTATCCTCCACCTTCACCATCTCTGTATCCCCAACCCTCACATCTTTTACTTCCATATCCACTATATCCACCACCACCCACCACCTCATCTTCAATAGCCGCCTCCACAACCACAGTATCCACCTCCTTATCCACCACTGCTTCTTCCATAACTACCACAGCCTCGGTATCCACCTCTACCTTCGTATCTCTGTACCTCACGTCTTCCACTTCCACCACACCCACCTCCATCCACCATTGCATCTGTTTTGAGCCGCCAGACCATCTCCGTTATCATATTTTACCAACGTTGTCATGTTCAGTTTCGTCGTCGTGTTAATCCCCATCATCACTGTCCCGTCACGGAAGAGTCGAGAAACAATGGTAGATTTTTGTTTAATTTCAGATCTGGTATTTCACTTTTTTATTCTTCAATCGGGCCCAAAACTTTGTTATTTGCAGAAATGCCCTCTTAAATTAACCCCAAACATTCATATGTGCAGTTTACACCTTCTTTTAATTGTATTTGCCTAGTTCTACCCCCACAATCTTCAAATATGATTTTTCTATCAGCAAATAGACAATAATTGTGTTCTTGTACTGAATGTATCTCTCTTTAAATCAACCGTGAATAAAATTAAGAAGTTTAAACAAGATTTGAAGACAGGTTTTTGACAATTTTGTATGGATACGTCTTTGTAGACGAGTGTAATGTAGACATACAAATTGTGGTTATGAAAACTGTTTTGTGTATATGGATGACTTCAACCCAAAGGTGGATATCGATAGTGATTAAAGAGGTAAAAAAGGTGTATAGAAAGCATTCTCAACAAATAAGTATAAATAAATCCTTCAACAAAAATTGAGTTCCATGATAAACATACTCTTTTGAATTGTAATTAAATAAAAGATAATTCATGTCACCAAAAAAAGTCATTGACAAACCTTCGACAAGGAAATGTTCAATTCCTTACATACCAAGCTCTTCATATCTTCTGGTGCATTTCTCTTAAACCCGTATGTAGCAGATGATTGTATATGCATTTGATATCCATGTATTGCATCACGGCCTATTCACATTAAAATTAAAATCACAAAACACAAATCAACATCTTCTACTCTGATATCCACCACCTCTCCATCCATAACCACCACCACCTCTACTGTGATATCCATCGCCACCTCCACCACAACTTCCACCCTCGTATCCCCCACTCACATGTTACCCAGAGCATGGTAGAGGCAGAGAACAAACAACCGCTGACCACATCCACACAACCACTGTCCACACCGACCACATCCACACAACCGCTGTCCACACCGACCACATCCACACAATCGTTGTCCACAGTCTCTTTGTCTCAGGCTCTACAATTAGAGAACAAACACCCGTAGCCGTCCACGAAGATCTTGAGCTTGGAATCCATGGTGTGAATCACGAGAGAGGCATTCCTGTTTGAATCTTGGAGAAAGGGGGAAGACATCCAATTGAATAGTGGAATCTTCTGACTCATATCTTCGGAGGAGATTCCACCATTTATCAAACTTGAAGAGGAAGATGATGAAGAAGAGGATGACTGCAAAAGTTGGAGAGGCCGGACTCATTGGATAAGATCCAATCTTTGGACAGAGAGGCACAATGGAGCACATCTTAGGGTTATGGATTTAGAGAGGCGGCAGTAGTCAGCAGATAGATTTCGGAAAAGAAAACATAGCTATAATTAGGTTTTTGGTTTGTGAAGATCTCTGAAAGATTTTTTTTCTTTTGGCAAAGATCTGAGAAAGTTTAATGGACGAAAGAGAGAGAGAGAGAGAGAGAGAGAGAGAGAGAGAGAGAGAGAGAGAGAGAGAGAGAGAGAGAGAGAGAGAGAG